GGTATTTGCTTGCAGCCTGACTCAGTTTCCCTCCCCCCCCTGCATCGGGAGCCCTTGGGAGTGACAGTCCTGGGGTTGTCATGTGGGTGATGTCACTTTGGGTACCTGGTGCTGATGCAGAAGGTCCAGCAGGTGCTTTTCTACTCCTGTCTCCTTCCTGCTGTGCATCTGAGTGGCTCCATGTCACCTTCTGTGACTTCTTCATTGTCTCTTTGGGGACCCAAGTCAAACACCCAGACAGGAGGAGAGCCAGACCATGTCTTGGGGCACTTCTGGGACACCTTGGCATGGCATCTTCTTGTCCCCAAAGCCAGCTGGGACCATGGCAGGCACCTTGCAAGCTGGGGTGGGCTGGCACTGCCCTGCTCCTCTGAGGCTCCCAGCAAGTCCAGCCTCGTGGGACAGGGACAACCCTGGGCAGGGGTGAGCTGGGAGGAAGGAGCTGCCCTGCCCAGTGGAGTTTTTCTTCATTCCTTGGAAGCCACAGAGACCTGCTGTGCTGGATCCAGGGCTGGGGGGCAGGTGGAGCTGCTGAGATGGATGACAATGCCATCCTTCCCAAATGCCTTTGCCACAGGTGACAGTGCCCAAAGGATGGCAGGTGACCGAGGGGGATGCCCAGGATGATGCCCACCCACCAGCTGGCACCCAGCAAGGCAACCAGCACCCAGCCTGGGTTTTAATCCATGCCAGGAGATGGCACATTCCTGCCTGGACATCTCCCAGGCCCCATGGGGACAGGCAGAAGCTGCCCTGGCAGGATGGACAGCACGAAGCAGCTCTGCCAAGCACAGGGAGATGGTTCTGAGGAGCTTGGCCAGGGCCAGGCTTGCAGGGGGACAACCTGGCTACTGCACCCTGCCCTGGCAAGGGGACAACCTCAGACCCAGGTCCTGGGTTGGCCAGAATCCCCCAGGAGAGGCTTCTAGGGGGAGAGAGGAGGTTTGAGACACCTACTCTTGATTTCACAGCACTGTGGCCTCTTGTTCCAGCTGCCTCTCCTGCCCTTGAGCATGTGGCCTCGAGCTTGGCAGCTGTCCCCACTCCTCCTGGTGGGCTCCCCACAGATGTCCTGGCTGGGTCCAGGAGGGACAACCAGGCCTGCAAGCCCCAACAGTGGCTGTTGTGGCCAAGCCCTTGTCCTGGGCTGCAGCAGGAGGGTTGGTGGCTTGGTCTGGGGAGGGCACCACATCAACCCAGCCTCTCGGGGCTCCACAGGGGACAGGGACAGCAGGGTCCCCAGGCAGGGCCAGCCCTGGGACATCTCCAGCAGCATCCAAGCCCTGCTCAGGACCAAGGTGATGGCTTCCCTAGGGATGCTGGAAGAAGCAACACCCCTTTCTGCCTGCCAGCTCCCTCAGCAGGGAGACAAGGGGGACAAGGGACATGGGAAGCGTGTCAGACCAACTTTATTGCCACGGTGGCCACGGGGCAGACCCAGTTCCCAGAGCAGGTCTGGGTCCAGCCCCTCGACCCCTCTAATACTGTTGAGAAGACGAACCCTGAGGCTCCTTGCCCACAGCCAGGAGCTTGAGCACCTCCATCCCGGCCACCACGGAGCAGCTCCGGGACATCGCTCCCGTCCTGCTGCCCGCTCCTGCTGGAGGCCAGGGGAGGGGAGGGATGGGGACCTGCCAGTCCTGGAGGGCCCTGCCACCCCCTCCCCCTGCCTGCCCGGGGCTGCTGGCAGGGGCAGGGGGTGCCCTCACACCTCCATGCCAGGCGCCCGCCCCAGGCCCAGCGCCTGCACCAGGTCGTCGCTGAGCCCACTCTTGAGTGTCCTCCTCACTGTGGGGACAGGAGAGGAGAGGGTGGCACAGGCAGCACCAGCTGCCAGGCTCACCGAATCCTTCTGGTTGGAAAAGACCTTCAAGAGCCATTAATGCAACTCCACCAAGCCCAGAGCTTAACCCATGTCCCTCAGCTCCACATCTACAGGGCTTGGAAACTCCTCCAGGGATGGGGATCCCACCACCTCCCTGGGCAGCCTGGGCCAGGGTTTCATGACCCTTTCAGGGAAGAAGTTTCTTCTAATCTCCAACCTCAACCTCCCCTGGTGCAACTTGGGGCCATCTCCTCTTGTCCCATCCCTTGTTCCTGGGGAGTTCTCCAGACCCTTCTCCTTGTGCTCCAGCCCCTTCCCCAGCTCCCTTGCCCTTCCCTGGACACACTCCAGCCCCTCCATGTCCTTCTTGTAGGCACTGGGTGTCTGTCCCATCATGGTGGCCCTGGCTTGGTGGGGAGGTGTGGGGGTATGGTCTGGTCTCTGGGGCCCTCCTGGGAAGTCAGAGGTGGCCAGTGGGGAAGGGGTCAGGTAGGACATGGGGACAAGGACACAGGGGTGGGACAGAGCTGTGGGGACAGAGCATGGGAACAGAGACAGGGATGGGACATGGACACAAAGATGGGAAAGAGCATCTGGGTAGGGGACAGGGCCACAGAGATGGAACAGAGGACAGGGATTGAGCAGAGCACAGGGACAGAGACAGAGATGGGGTAGGACATGGGGACAGGGACATGGAGATGGGGCAAGGCATGGGGACAGAGCACAGGAACAGAGACACAGAGATGGGACAGGACATGGGGACAGGGACAGAGATGGAACAGGGACACAAAGATGGGAAAGAACATCTGGGCAGGGACACAAGGCAATAGAGGGACACAGGGACACAGAGCTGGAATGGGATGTGGGGATAGGGACACTGAGATGGGACAGAGTCCAGGGACTGGGCAGAGCACGGAGACAGAGATGTGGAGATTGGACAGAGTATGGGGACAGGCAATGGGAACAGGGCCACGGAGGTGGCACAGGGCATGGGGATATGGACTTAGAAGTGGGAGAGAGACACAGATGGGATCAGGCAAGGGGACAGGGACATGGAGATGGGAAAAATCACCTGAGCAGGGACAGAGAGATGGAACAGAGTACAGGGCCAGAGCATGGGGCCAGAGACAGGGCAGGGGGACAGGGATGGGACTCACAGGACTTCCTGTTGCCCCGGGACCTCCTGCGCTCCTTGCTGGGGCAGGGCCGGGGGTTGGTGCTCTGTGTCACCGACTTCACCAGCTGGTCCATGATCTCATCAGAAGCATCATCCGGGGAGCTGGGAACATCCTCCTGCGCCGGGGAGCCCTGAGCCGGGCTGGCCTGCCCTGTCCCTGCGCGGGGACAAGAGAGGCGCTGGCACCGGCAGTGCCCAGCCGCACCGGGGCACCCGGAGGGCC